GTCATATCTAATTATCTATTATTTTTCCCTCTCTGCAGCATTTTCTTATATTCTCAATCAAAATCTCACAAGAGCTAGAGCTAGGAGTTGTGAAGGCAACTGGTCCCCAATGTTAATTATATTAGCAAAAACTATAGACTCCAGGTTCCATACTATTTGATGGGGTCCATTATTTAATTCCTTTACCCACTGGGCCTTCAATTCATTAATAACTAATGACCAGGCAATGCAAGCAACAAATAATTAAAATGCCCTTATCTTGTTTTATAGGACTACTTGTCTTTGATCCATTTAATCTTGCTACAAAGACATTTGTAGTCATGATCTCTTGACAAAAGATTCAGACCATTAATTTGAACTCTAGGCCATGGAATGATGTAACAAACCACCCAAATTTCTAAAAGAAAAAAAAAATACTATCCATGTAAATAATGTACCAAAGATATACATTAATTTCAGCCATCTCAATCATGTGCCAAGACAACTAAACTATTTTTGTCAGTAAAAACTTATGATGCTTTAATCAGTCAAACCCTTGTAAAAACCAATTTAATTTAATTTATGATGGCTGGTTGATTGGTCATAAGTTTTTTCCGTATCATATATTCAATAAACAATAAATGTGTTCAGTGAATACATAAGCAGTATAGTCAGTAAAAATGATTTTAATATATAATTTCTTTGTATTATGTAATACACATACAAGGAACTCAGGAGTGGGGATAAAGCAAGGTGTACATGAGATCCACTGGCCATACCACAGAATTTCTACAGTTATGTGGGTTTGATCTCACATCTCCTATTTTGGAGGGATGCTGATTGACCATCTCAACTATTGGGTCATCGCGCTTATATGCCATAAACGAAACGTCGGTTTTACGCAGATATAAAAATATATAATATTAAATATCATCAGATTGCATCATATCAAATGGGATTGGGATAAATCCGCAATCATTTCAATTAAAAATGGATCAAATGTGCATTAGAATTCAAATTCCGACAAATTGTTGTTACTGTTTACAACTCTATCCAGGAAAAATCTTATAGAAGATGATTTTAATTGTTGACATAGACAAAGGCAGCATTCATATGGCCCATGATATTGCTTTTATATAACATACCTAGTGGAAGCCAAACGCTTCACTTGGAGAGATGATTTTGCTACTGATACTGACCATCTACCTAAGCAACAATAATCCCATAAAATGTCTAGTGTCTCCAGGCGTAAACGTCCTCATCTTTTCCTTTGATATCGAAAATGTATAGGATGTTGATAGAAAAGGAGTGAATGGGGCAAGGATGGGTTCCAGGACTTTTCTCTTGGGGGGCCAACATCCATCATGGTATGGTAAGTTATAAAGACAAATTTAGTGTTCTCTGTTTAATCAATTAATCGTTTTTATTTATTATACCTAAAGTACTTGAGTGGAAATAATCTTGACGGCCATAATTTAATGAACAGAATGGAATTTTAGTTCAGACAAGACTTAGATGATGTAATCTAAGAATAAATTAATATTTTTTTAATTAATAAATGACAGCTTTATCGATATAATAATAAGGAATCTTAGGAAAGTTTAAATAGGTGTATAATGAGTGAATATATCAATAATTTTGCATAGCTATATGCAATATGAGAAAAACTCAATCATTTTACTTGTAATATAAACATAGGAGTACTGATGGAGTGATTAGAAAGCTTTTCCTCTTCTTAGAAAAATGGTCGTTACTCTTTTAGTCCAGGGCCTCCAGGCTACTTGGGATCTCACCAAGTCGACTGGATGCAAACCTAGCCTCCAACATTTTTTTATATAAATTTTTCTACACAGTGGCTGCTCATGAGCTCTAAACCTGATACTTGTTCTTGTTAGTCCAAGATATAACATCAGACTAGACAATTAATGGATGCTACCTTTTGTTTTAATTTTCTTTTTTCCTCCTCAATGAAGAAGAATAAGAAAAGTTGGGGGGGGGGGGACCGGAGGAGATTATTGATAGATTAAAGGCTATAACATGGTTTCAAATGACCTTCTAGGTTTTTTAGGGCTACCCTTAGTGATGATTTAGAGTTAGAATAATGCCATTTCACAGAACAAGGATTTGAATTATGAATAATATATGGAACATTAGAACATCTTTGCTCTAAAAAGTGGGAGGGAGATGGAGAAGGGTGGGAAGAAATAAAACTTAGGCTGTGTTTGGTTGCAATGCAAATAAATTAGCATTGATGCAAAATCATGGCAGTGCAAATGATTTGAGTGTAAATTCCAATTTATTTTTGTTTTAAATTTTAGCTTATTTTGTTTGATTGCAGTACAAATGAAGTAAATTAAGACATGAAACAGAATAAAGTAAAATCCAAAACAAAATTAAACAAGAATTTGCAATTTTTACATTTACACTCCCATACATTTGTACTAGTACAAATAAAATTGCACTGCAACCAAATACAGCCAAAGGATCAGTTTGGAAAGGGTGCAAATAGAAATATGTACAGTGTATAACCTTGTATTTGCACTATAATTATTTGTATTTGCACACTTTCTATAGGAATAAATGTATTTATTTATTCTATTATCACGGGCATAAATGCATTGAGCTTGTTAAATTAAGTCAAGCAAGTTGGGTTTCATTTTTTGGAGAAAGCTTAAGACTTTCATTAAAATATCTTGTGAGATTCATGTTGATTTTTTTTGAACCGCCCATAGGTTTTATATTTCATTCAATTAAGAAATTGATACAAAAAAAAAACCCGAAAATGCCAATAAAAAAAGCACATAAACAATTTCTCAAGAAAACAAAATATAGAAATGGATGAAGGAGAACATAAAAAACTTCTGCAACCAAATAAAGGTGAATAAACGTCATCAACAAAAGTATAAAAGCACCTCTCTAATTCACCACATAGGGCCAGCGAATCTACTAATAGAAATCCATACGACTGTCATCGTCGGAGAAACTATGAACAGAACTCACCTTGAATAGCATCTGCCAGAGAATTACGAACAGATTCAAACAAAGTCGTGAATCATAAAGCCATATCCACCAATAACGATCACCCAAAAGCTTGAAAAAACTCGAGAGGAAGGCTCTATTAAAACAGAGAGAGAAGGAGAGAGGGAGAAAAACCAGAAGGAGGAAGGGGCATGGAGGGAGCCGCCTCGAAAGAAATCCCTATAAGAGCGCCTCTAACGAAAACCCTAACCCTAACAGCCTTAGAGGTGCAACAACCTCTTTGTTTCATATTGATTGATGATTGAATGAAATTTGCCGTTGGAATTTGAAGAAAATAAAATAAACCAGTAGAGAAGGGTGTAAAAGTAWAACCCAAAATAAGGATTTAATCCCAAGAAATTGGATTTGATCCTCACAAGACCAAGACCGTGCTCACACTGTTCCTACTGTCCCTCAGCCTTACATTGGGAATCTCTCTCCATGAAAAAAATATATAATTACAGAATTATTTCCAATGAGTGGCTATAAAGCACTAAGTCCAATCTCCAATCCCAAGTACCTATTAGGGGTCCGGATGTAGTAGGCATGTTAGGTAAGCACAATGAGTGAGCATGTAATAGTTGTGTGACACATGTCCCAGTTAATGTGCCTTTCATCCAAACGGTTTTTATTCCGTTAGACAGAAATTATCTATTATTTTATTATTTTTGTCAAAATAATTAAAAATAAAAAACAATAAAAAAAGAAAACGTAAATGAGTCACAACTCCCAACATGTTTAGGTTTTTCTCTTTCATTGTTTTTGTTTTTAATTATTTTAACAAAATTAATAAAATAATAGATAATTTCTATCTAACCGAGTAAAAAACCATTTGGATGAAAGACACATTAACTAGGGCATGTGTCACAAAGTTATTATGTCGTCGTTGTGCTTACCTAACGTGCGTACTACAACCGGACCCTCCATTAGAACCAGCACCACACAGTTACCATTCAGCCAGTTGGCACCTTTGCTCTTGACAGATTACATAATAATAATAATAATTAAGGACCTGCTTGATGGTTAGGGATGCAATTTGGGCCGAGTTTGATTGGATTAAGGCCAACCCAAGCCGCATCAGACACAAGGTTATTCCATTCCTAAGCCCAGTCCTAACCCAACCCGATCCCCAATCCAACTAGTGTAGCCTCATTTTTTGAAAGCTCAATCCAATTCGGCTGGATTAAGCCGTGTCCTTTTTGGTTTGATTACAATATCCTCAAAGCTTTCTTTATTCAATTGTTCATTGTTCAGTCTCCACTAAAAGACAAAGTAACAAGTCGTTCAATTCATCTACTTGAGCCGTTAACAAACTGCCCCTACGAAGGAAAGGCATCCCAATTACTGGGCCAACTCATGATTTGCTATATCAATTTACTACTACTCTCATCTGGGCCTCCGCTGTACAAGTGACGTGGTGGATCGCTGTTGGCCCAGCCCCAGGGCAGTGGGCCAGTATTACGAATTACGATTAAATACTGTAGACGATGAAAAGCAACCGACACCACCGCTACTGCCCACGTGATATCCAATCGACGTGGGATGTTGTGACTGGCCCAATATTTCCAGTAGTACACCTACACTCTACAGAGTACAGACTATCGGGAGCCCYGTCGGCCGTCTCTCTCGCTAGTGGCCAACTCGCTACTACTGAGGCCGAGCTCCACCGTCGTGATGACGTGGCATAATGCCATTGATCGGAAACTCTTTGCTCGGAGTGATTTGGGTTTCCACGTGCTGGAATTACAAAATGAAGAATTCTTTTTTGTGCAAAGATTATTCCCTTCCCTTTCAAGAACAAGGGCAATTTTGTAAAACAGGTCAAAAGACACGCAGGTAGCCGTAAATTTTCGGTGTTATCGAGAATGAGATGAGGAGACAGGCGTACAGGAAGCCGTCTGAGCTTGTATCAGCGAATACTTCTACTTTTTTTTATTATTTTTTATTAAAAACACTGACATTCCGGCCGCTTTGTTCATTYCGCTTCCGGACCTGTCTATAAATCGCCACTCCACAACAAATTTCCCAAAACATCCCTCTCGACTTTACTCCTCTCACCCTTTGGCTACATGGAAGAAAGCATTGGCGACGCATGGAGACCGTCTTCCGTTTCCCTCTCCGGGTTCCGGCCACCAGAAATCCCAGTTGAACCCATGGAGTTTCTCTCTCGTTCTTGGAGTGTTTCCGCTCTCGAAGTGTCGAAAGCCCTGGCCCCTCCTTCACTGCTTCTCAAGACGGTCAGTGGCGATGGGGCGATTCATGAAGATATCGCCGGGGAGGCCGAAGAAGCGGCCACGGTTTCCGGAAATCCTTTCTCTTTTGCTTCTTCTGCAACTTCGCAGCTCGTGATGGAGAGGATAATGTCACAGTCGGTAAGTGGGAATGTCAGAATGACACTGAGCAGGGAGAGATGTAAACGGACAATGTCGTTCCGGGGTCGTTGAATCTGGGGGCCTTATGACATGATGCCCGTCTGCTCGTTTCTTTTGTTATTGAGAAATTATCGATCCTCTTTTTGATTCCATTTACTGTTCGGCCTCTTGTTTTATCGTAACTTTGTTTCATGCTTCTCGGGTCAATGCGTGCTTTTGTTCATTTGCAGTGATTGCTTGTATAGGCTTCGTTTTGTCTGTGGTGTTCGGTTTTCCTCATAAATAAATTTGAGCTTTTATTCCCCCTCGAAACAACATATTATGGTTGGTTTCTGGGATTTCTTTTGTTTTTCTGGGGAATCTGGTACTGGTGTTACTGTTGTGTCCACTGGGTAATCAGCAGTTTTTCCCTGTTCATGCGTGAAAGGTGAAGCTCTGCAAAAGCAGAACTGCAACCGCTGTCTCGAACTCTGAAATTATTCAGGCCCAGTCTGCTTGTATCGGTTATTGGTTTTTAATGGGTCGCTTTCTCTTCCCTACAAAATCCAGAAAAAGAATGAATTAAAGAAAACAGCAGTGGGGATTCTCTACCCTTCAGGAAAATCCTGTAGCATCTTATTATGGTTCTTCTGCCGCAACGATTTCCCTAAACAGAGAAATCATGTTTTATATGTCCTTAGGTCTCTGCTCTCGTATTTCAGTTTATCTTCATTCTGGTTTTGGGTTTTCATCTCCTTTTAAAGTTCTGATAAATTTGCAACCTAAAAGATCCTGACCAATGATGGCAACTTGGTTTGTTGTGGCGCAGCAAGAAGTATCGCCGCTTACATCGGGGAGGCTCTCGCACAGCAGCGGCCCTTTGACTGGCAACCAAAGCTGTGGATCGTTGACGGACAGTCCTCCCGTCTCTCCGTCTGATGATATCGACGACGTTAAGGTATGGCCTGTGACTCTGTTCTCAAATTTTCTTTCTAACTGGATTTCGGTCACTAGAAACCATGAAGTGATTATTTTTCGTTTGTTTTTTTTTTGCTTTTAATTCTATCAATATCAAATCCGTTTAATTTTTATTTTACCAAATTTGTCTTTATCCCACGAAAACCAGCCCCAGAATGACGTAAATGCCCTGGAGAATTTGTGAAATACAAATCCAGAATCTTTCAAGAAAGTAGAAGCTTGTTGTCTTCTTTTTGTTACTTATGAATTTATAACGCTGGTCAGCAGCAAATGAATTCATAAACGTCTCTATCCGTTGATTGATGAGTCCTTGTGAGTAACGAAGTTGTGCAACTCTTGCGTGCATCGCCCCTCGGACAAGGTGGGACCATGTATAATTTTGTCTTCTAGCATACTGTCATGGGTCCCATCATATATCCATGGTGGAGGTATCGAAGAGTTGCACCACACCTGACCCGAAGGGTTGTTGCCTTGTCGGCCTAATTACTAGCTTGCCCCTCCGGGACGGAGATGGACATGGATCCAGGTCACAAATTCTGTTCTCCCAGAGTTTAGTCCGGTACATTCTGGTACGTAAGTCCTATTATCACCATTGACTGACACCTCCGCCTTGTGTGTTGATCGTACTCTCCTCTCTCCTGCTTGCTTTTGCAGTTGTGCCGTAGTACCAACACAGTTAGAACCCAGAACAGAGGCCCCACCGGAGGCGGTGGTGGTGCCGGCGGTTGCGTGGGTCCCGGTGGTGGCGGTATCGTCGGTGGAGGGGGCAAGACTGTTGGGAGGTGGTTGAAAGACAGGAGAGAGAAGAAGAAAGAAGAAACCCGAGCTCACAACGCCCAGCTTCATGCTGCTGTCTCCGTCGCTGGAGTGGCTGCTGCAGTGGCTGCCATTGCTGCAGCCACGGCTGCTTCATCATCGTCCGGGAAGGACGAGCAGATGGCTAAGACCGACATGGCGGTAGCGTCAGCTGCAACATTGGTAGCAGCGCAGTGTGTAGAGGCCGCGGAGGCACTAGGAGCGGAACGGGAACACCTGGCCTCCGTCGTTAGTTCGGCCGTTAATGTCCGTTCTGCCGGAGATATCTTAACGTTAACGGCAGCAGCAGCGACAGGTACGTGAATTGAACTAATTTAGTTGGGCATTTTCGTAAATTTACGTGGACCGAGTTGACGTTAGACGTGTGGTGTTGGGTGGGAGAGTGCTGCAGCTCTACGCGGGGCGGCCACATTGAAGGCGAGGGCATTGAAGGATGTGTGGAATGTAGCTGCGGTAATACCGGTGGAGAAAGGTATGGGATTAGGCGGTAACCATAATAACGGTCATTCCAACGGTAACTACAGCGACGAACTTGTCCCCGAGGAGAATTTCCTGGGTCTGTGCAGTCAAGAGTTCCTCGCAAGGGGTTGCGAGCTCCTAAAGCGAACCCGTAAAGGTATGGGATTAGTTGCTCCTCTTCCTCTGCTTATTATTATTATTATTATTATTTACTATTTTATTCCTAGTAATTCCATTGCTGGTTAATTTTATTGAACAACTGTTATTATTGGTTTGGTGATGAAGGTGATCTGCATTGGAAGATCGTCTCTGTTTATATCCACCGGACGGGTCAGGTGGGTTTGTCTCATACAATCTCTGTTTCAGTGTTGATTTCTGTACTTTATTCATTGTCTATGGTTCTTCCTTTAGTAGAAATATCAACACCTCTTGCAATTGTGGGGGGTGGGCCTGTAAACAAAATCTGAATTGAGATGAAGCATATACAATATAATTGCTGAGGTTTGCTAGTAGCAGTTTTGGGCGTGTATTGTTGTTGTAATCATTCTAACGTTACATTATTTAATGCCCTTTTTCACAGGTGATGCTCAAGATGAAGAGCAGACATGTTGCAGGGACATTCACCAAAAAGAAAAAGAGTAAGCCCTCTACTCTCACCTAAGGCTAAGGGGTGGGTGGTTTCCCTACCCTTCTTGGGATCAGAGAAAGGATGTAGTAAATTGCAGAACAAAGTGAAAAAAAAAAAGCAAAAGAAGCTTTTTCTTTTATTCCTTTGGTGATGTTAGCTTGATTTAAATCATTTGTCTCGCATTTGCAGATGTGGTTTTGGAGGTTATCAAGGACATGCCAGCATGGCCTGGTCGTCATTTGCTGGAGGGAGGTGAGCAACGGCGTTACTTTGGGCTGAAGACAGCATTGCGTGGTGTGGTAGAGTTTGAGTGCAGAACCCAGAGGGAGTATGATGTCTGGACGCAGGGTGTGTCCAGGCTGCTTTCTATTGTAGCCGAAAGGAGTAGTAATAGACATAAGTAGTGAGCCTTGACGTATGTATGATCCTCTCCTTCTCTACCAAAGAAGGGAACCTGGCTCTGCTGCAGTCTGCACGGGTAGCAGCAAGATGGCCCTCTCTAAGTCATGCCAGATCTTTTGAAATTGAAGTTGGTGGGTGGGTCTGGCTGTTTCTCTTTCTGTTGTTGTGCTACTACTGTAAAGATAGTTCATCAAAAGGAATTTCTTTATTTCTCTGGGTTTGGGAATTTGTATTTTAAAGTGAGAGAGGGCTGGTTTATGTGTATCTAAGATCAAAGCAGGAGCAAGACCGCTAGCATGTGTTTTAAGGCCTGTATTTCTTACTGTTTTGGAAAGAAAGAAAAAGCAAGAATCTTGGACTATTAGGATCAGTCAAAAAGGGGAGGAAGCCATCCCCAATTCCCCATCTAGTCTAGGTAAAGCAACTGCTTGGATATATATATATATATATATATATATATAATCCATGTGAACTCTGCTTTATTAACTCTCTTCTTTCCATCTTTATTCCTCTTTATGAATTTTGATCAAGTGGATGAGCATCTTCACTGCAAGTGTTAGGCTGATATCCAAGGGTTCAACCAGATCCAGAATTGTAAATAAGTATTATTATCAGGGTCGAAATCTTTGGCTTTAGCTTTCAGTAATTGCCATGCCAAATTTCTGGGTTCTGGGTTGCCATTGCCTTGATCTAATTGCAAGAAAAATATTTTAATAAAAACCAAACGCTTGAAGAAATGCCTAATCAGAACTTGGTCTCCACCAATCCAAACCAGTTAACCAAGTCATGTGTGCTTCAATTTGTATTTATTTAATTGGTTTTCACTGGCTTCTATGAATGATCAGAGAGCATTCAGATGCAGTTTTTTTTTTTTTGTTTTTTGTTTTTTCAGCAGAAGCAGCAACTGCAAGTGCTTCCAAATGGATCAATGATTGTGTCTAAAATCTTTTTCAGTGATGATCCATCTCCACACTCAACTCCAAAATAGTGATGCTCACCCATGACCCGTCCTCGTAGCACTGCACGCCCATGCATGTAAATATCCAACAATCTTACTGTGCGTGTTGGGGATGCTAGTGCAATCCGCCACTGTTTCCTAGAACCGACTCGTCTTTTAAAGGAGACACATGGGGCCGATTCCGTCGAGTCCAGTTAAAAAGAAAAGCCAAGAAAAAGAAAGAAAGAAAGAAGATTACCAGCTTGGCTGCAGTCGAGAGAATATTCTATACGGATTCTCTAAAGCTTCATCTAAATTCATTAGACAATCATGTGGAACTGGGAGATGTTGTTGGTGAACTTTGAATTCCATCATCGTCTTGTTCAGATAATCAAATACCTATCATGGAATATGATGGAATGCCCCTACTACATGGCTGTCTAGATTGGGGCAGCAATAGCAAAATGGGAAATTTTCATCCTTTCGGGATTCTTTGTTGGTCTTTAAGCTGTCAAATGATAACAATTTTTCTTGTTGAGATTATCCATTTTTATATATAAGCTCGGTTGAGTATATATGGGATGGGGCTAGTTCAATATCCCCTCTTTATTTAGCTGGGTCTGGTCCGGTATGACTTGCTTCAGGTTGGATTTGGGTTAAAGCAAACCCCAGATAACCCGATCAAGGTTCAACATATCAATAGTTCAATACGATCTTTGAATACCCAATACAGGAACCCATTTTTTATTAAATAATATATATATAAATAAATAAGCCTAAAACTCACATTTGAAAAAAAAACTAAAAAAATAAAAGGTGCACGATTAAAAGTACTAATACATCTCTGATGATACACAAAGGTGTATACTGTATCGATAATTTAAACCATAAACCCGATCCATTGACATCCCTACACAGAAAGCTCACTGGTTCATTCATTCCCAGTTAAACCATTCCGACTGATAACATTGGCTGCAATATTGGTGCAACAAATCTGACTTACAGATTGTGTACAAGCATTAGGGACTTTATCTAACAGCTACAGCTTTTAGGTTGAATGATTCCTTAAAATGAAATGGTATCAGAACCTGTTTGACCAAGTGAACTACTTTTCAATCATCGTCACCTCATTATAATTACTTGAATTTCACCATAAGATATGGATGGGCCTATATTTGTCAACTCTTCAAGCCCAATAACCCCATGAATGAGGGGGCGTGTTCCTTGAGAAGACATAGAAACATCCAAATGCAAAACTGATTAGACTAAACATACGTTCAAATTAGGCGCAAATCCATCCTAAATGGTTACAAACCAACCCCACCGTAAAAGGGTTTGTATAATTTATACAAGTACCAAACCCGGCCCACTAGAGCGTGGTAAGTCCGATTTCAAATTTATATCGAGGGTGACAGAGGACCCTTAGCCTTGACAAATTTAAATGCGTTGAAGTGGGTCGGGCCCATCAACCATTAATGAGTGTAGGTGCGTGACATGTTATTCAATCTGGACCATATGTCAACTGATGGAATTTGCACCAACCCACCCAATTGCCACCCAGGACGGTGTGTCAGATAAAATTTGCACCCCTGTAGTCACTTGCTATCACATGACATCAGTAAAAAAGCTATACTCGTCCCTGTACATAGTTGATTGATTGATTGGTTGAATTGTGTTGTAATTCCCTTCTCCCAAATGCTAATAAATGGCAAGAACTGGAAGGTACGAAGGAACCATTTCGAATAAAAGCTTTGTTTTCAGTCTTAAAATAGAACTTGCTATTGAAGGAGGTCAAACCCATAACGGACTATTTCATTCTTTTACGAGTTTATTATGTCTAGGTGGCAATTGCTAGTAACGACTGCAGTCTGGGTGAAATGCACCGAATTTAATGTCATTGGTACTCAGAGACCACAAGCTTACCACCGGAACCGTAGGCAAAATGAATTCGGTAAACATACAAAGTCAGGACTCAAGGACTACTCGGTCGAGCACCAGGTAGAATAATAATTGAACAACAACTAGCACTCGGTGCTTAAGTTTTGCTGACTTTGTTGAACTGAACATAAGATAAATTATATTTCCGGTATCTGTTGAACCAGCTTCTGTCCGACATAAGTCATCCTCTTTATGTTGCCGGAGAATTCAATGCAACTATAGAGGTAGCAACCCCAATTTTTCAACCTCAGAAATCAATGGAGGTTTGACACCACAGCTAGATCAATTGTAAGCATTAAATGATCAATATATTGGAAAGGAAACTCATCCACGGATAGGGGGAACTCCCAAGTCCCAATTGGGTATTCGAGAGGACTAATGTCAAGGACCTGTTCAACCTAAAAGCAGAAGCTGTTAGGTTTTTGTTCAGTTGTTCCCCAACTAACCCTCTCTAGATCATTTAGTGACCAGCCCTATAACGATTATTTACTCRGTACTGTTGCATGGGGTGCTCGATGAATTGTTGGAAATGAACATACGGGATACAGTGACAAATAAGATATTTGGGCTTTTCTCATCTCGAATAATAAAATCTATTAATTTGATGGATTTTTATGATTTATTGAGATATTAATAGTGTTTTCATTTATATTTTAATTATCCAAAACGTATTTTGATACGATTTTTAATACATTTTGAGTTTTTGATACTGCATGTTGACTCTAACCTAACCCAACTCACCTCATCTTCAACTAAGGTTTTCAACCCTTACTCTATTCCACCATAAGATCAAATGTCTTGAGTTGGGTTTGAGTGGGACCATTGCAACCAAATTTACAAATAAATGAATAGATACGCACTGCTACAATCCTACATGTAAAACGATACATAGACAACATACCATAGTGATAGTGGTATTTTAGAATATATATATATATATATAAACCATAACATTCATTATCATCCTCTCTCCTCCTCTCACATATGCATACTTTTAACATACTTGTCTATACAGATCAATGCATGTATCATACATTAAAGCATAAAAAACATATAATTACAAATACAATACATCCGAGTTGGGTTTCCCAAAGCATCAAACCAACCAAATCCAACCTTATATTGGGTTGGTGTTTTCTAACCCTAACCCAATCTTCAAGACAACCCTATTTTTGGGTTGGGTTGGGGTGGGGTGGGGTAGGTCCAACCCATTTTGCACTTCAAACTGTATGCACTTTTGTTAGAAGGCAGGAAAATTTCAAAGAAAGAAATGAAGTTTCTATCCGTCCAGTGCTCTTAGAATGTCGAGGAGAGCCAGGAACAGGTTGACGATGTCGAGGTAAAGGGAAACTGCTGCCCAGATGTATTCATCGTAAGAATAGCGCTTAATCAAGTTGTCAGTGTCATAGATTATGTAGCCACAGAATATAATAGCTGCCAAGGCCGAATATATCATCACAGTGGTTTTCCCCAATGGAAATAGCATCTGCCAGGACATAGATGATTAACCCRATAAATACAAACGATACTTACAAGTTACAACTAGTGACAAGCTCTACGGGTGCAACTTGGGTGGGTTCAAGCCCAGCCCAGGTTAACCTATAAATTTATTGGGGTTGGGCTTGGATTTTTTTCCCTCGAGATGGGCCATAGCCCAAAACTTTGGATTCTTTATTTTTTTGAGCTGGGCCTAAACAGAACTCTATGGGTGCAGCTTGGGCGGGCCCAAGCCCAGTCCAGACTAACCTGTAATTTTTTCGGGTTGGGCTTAGATTTCTGGTGCTTGAACTGGAACATAGTCCAAAGCTTTGGGTTCTTTAATTTTTGAGCTGGGCCACAGCCCACACTTTGTATTCTTTAAGTTTTTCAGATGGGCCTAAACAAAACGCAATGGGTGCAACTTAGGTGGGCCCAAGCCCTGTCCAGGCTAACCTGTAATATTCTTTTGGGGGTTGGGCATGGATTTTTGTTCCTTGAACTGGAGCATAGCCCAAAACTTTGGGTTCTTTAAATTTTTGAGCTGGGCCATAGCCCAAACTTTGGATTCTTTAATTTTTTTTGAGACGGGCCTAAAGAAAAACGCTATGGCTGCAACTTGGATGGGCCCAAGCCCAGTCTAGGCTAACCTGCGATTCTATACAGATTGGGCTTGGACTTTTGATTTCTGGGCCAAATCCAAACCCTTGTGAATTAGGCCTGAAGCCCAGTTTTTAGGTTGGGCCTGGTTTAACCTTAAACGCACCCTAAGGCGTGCCCCTTTCGAATAAAAGAAATTGAATGGTAACAAGTTGGAATACAGCAGCAGATACCTGAATGAAGCCAAAGATGGTAAGAACTAAAAGAGCAGCAAACAAGAAGGGTCCAAGGAAGCTAAAGTCGTGACCCTTCTTTGCTGCCCAGAAGGTGTAGATAGTGAGGCTCACAACCACCACCGCTGTCAGAATTGCAGCCTCCAAAATAATCTTTCCTGTTGCCAATAAGATCCGAACATTAATAACAGATAAATTGTCCAATCCCATCCAGTCCAATGTGAGTCCATTATAAATGGACCAGGTCCAATTCGATCCAATGAATGTTTTGGACCGGTTTAATTCAATGTCTGGACCGTCTAATCTGTTCAAATTTATTTTGATTTAGATTGGTTTCAAACCAAACCCGGTCCATTGATACATATTCTTCTTATATCAATAAACCAGATATTGGCTTAATCCAACACAATCCATATAAATTTATTACAGATGGACCAGGTCTAATCCAATCTAATAAATATTTTGGACTGGATAGGTCCGATCCAAATATGTCTTATTGGTCCATCCAATCCGTCCAAATTGATTTTGGACTGGACGGGTCCAATCCAAAACCGGTCCATTAACACCCTTAGCACCATTGTAACAAACAAATTTAAGGCCATGATTTTCATTTGTCTTTTATAGTTTTGCTACAAAAACCACAAGAAATGAGAGACTAATGAGGCCAAAAAGAGCTCCAACACCAATATAACATTGAGTTGCACATTCTGTTGTATTAATGGTTGGAAACTACAGAAACATCACACTGAACTAACACTTGATGCATGGACTGTTTTGGTGACCTATTGGGTCAGTTTTTCTTCACCAAAAAAGCTCTACCTCTTCTCTGTAGAAAATTAACCATGATTAACTATAACAGTAGCAAACTTTTAATCCATTTAAATGTTCTGTTCCAACTCTGAAACATGAAAGCAGAGGAACGATACCCCAAGAGCTGAACCATATAATGAGGTTTGTTCTCTTATGACACACTGAACCAAAACATTTTTTTTTCCTAATTAATCTCAATAGATGACTCAAGAACAAAGAGACGCAGATATCAGGATTTTGACGTCTTACCTTTGGTAAAAGCGCACGTCAATCCGACTGAAAATGATATCGCCACCGTAAACAATCCAAGAAGTATGAGGTTCACAGGATGCTTTTGGTGATAGTAGTACAGAGGGCACAAAACTGTACAATTTAATAAGAAATGATCCAAACAAATGAGATAGAATATTCACAATAAAGAGCAAAACTAGAAGTGAAGATGAACAAATTCTTTCATAAAAGAATGGGCAATTAAATGAAGGAGGAGGAGGTTGAAGCTTACGTATGAAGGGCAAGATAATGAGAACAATGTACAGAGCAAAACCGGCGGCAGTGGTGACGAAGAAGACTGCGATGGGACGAACGAAGACGATGACAGCAGAAACGACGACGGTGAGAAGGAATTGGACGGCCAAGATGCAATAAACCTTACGAATGAACCCCCACCGGAGTTGGGGATTCTCGAGCATCTTGGGATAGAGCTGCTGGCCTCCGGCCTCGATGTCGCCATGCTTCTCTTGCTGCGGTGGCCACATTTTCGCAGGTTGAGAAGAGACGATCGAAGAGTGCAGAGGGAGAGAGAATGCCCAAGAGAAAGAGAGGGAGAGGGAGACAGAGGAGAGGAATTAGGGATAGGGGTTTGTATTAATGAAGGGTTGGTAGTTGCAGAGGAGAGGAAGAGGAAGAAGCGAGAAATTAATTAGGGAAAATTTGGAGGTTGGTTTTCGTGAATTGCGTCGAAAGGTGGCGTATATTATAAATATAGACAATGTAACGTTTTCGGTTTGTTTTCTTTGTTGTGCGGAGGTTTTTGTGTAGGAAGTGAGTTGGCCATTGAGAGGTCGAGTTGGCAGTTGGTCACACGTGGACGGAAGCGTTTCTCCTGTTCTGCCTGCGTTGTTCTCTCATCTCTTCTATAGTTGTATTCATAGCAGCTTCTCCTCGCTTAGCTTCCAAGGGAGGTCAAACTTTTGATATCTCATTCCCAGAATTATCTTAGGGTTCATTTGGTTTTCAGGATTGCTTATGGTGGAATTAGAATCTAATTCCCATTCCTAATGGAATGGAATGGCATTCCCCCATCTAAGGGAATGGCCGTTTCTTCTTAGAAATGAGAATCCTATTTCCAACCAATTCTGATTTAGACTTTGATTCCTGTCTGAACCAAACAGGTGGGAGAATAATTCATTTTAATTCCTTTCCGAAGGACTTTGATTCTGAGTACAAATCAGACGGACCCTTAGCATCTTAACCCCTGTTTAAGAATATGCTTATTCTAGGCCGGAACCACGCATATAAACATTTACTTGTGTTTGGAAAATAAGTACTAAGCACTTGTTGCATTTCTCGCCTGACTTGCTAACCACATAATTTTTAAAATACTTATATTACTCATTTAAGAAAAAATCACATTTTTTCACCAAACACTCAAAAATGCTTTACGCTTATTAGGGACAATTGCAATTGGGATTGAGCGGATTGAGCTTTTAGATTCTGATCGGACCCAACCCACTCACCAAGTCCAGAGCTTCAAGTTGAGATCATTGCGGTCGGATCTGCTGCTCGGCCCATTTTAGCAGGTTTCATCATCCATGTAGCACCCCACAGGTGCCCTATATGCACATTTCAGAGTACATTGAGAATATTTTCCGTATTTATCATTAAGAAATATTACCAATACACAGTTGAGATGTGCTGTAGAGTTGCGGGGAACTGATGTGAACTCCCATGTAGGTAATTGCTCGCAAAAGGATTTGGGACAAGGATGATTAATAAGACAGCGTTCAGCCCACCATTCTTTTCAGTCAAAGTGTGGCGCTAAGCACACTTTGACTCTCTGTATTAATTCCATTTCTGCGGGCAATTTTTAATCTGAGAATTGTGAGTATAGGACTGAGATGTGCTTAGGATTGAACATGCGGAAATTTCAGTCGTCGTTCACAGGTTTTTAGTCGTGCATCTGGAATATCTCCCCGTAACTAAAAATATAAAAAACATTTTAAATATAGGGCTGTAAGTGCTCTGAGAACAGTATGAGAACAAATTTTGTAAGAACTGAATCCGGTGTCAGTTGTATATGTTACTAAAAATCATTCTGAGTCATCACTTTTTTTTTCTATGCATGGGAGGGTGACGTGGAAGCTGGTGGTCTCTATCATAAATCTCAAACATGTTTCATTGTAAAAGAGAGTAAGGATTAGCTGAATGCAATACCTGTTGGGTATGCTGTGGAACCAATGATAACTTTCAAACTCAATAATGAAATACATGGGACCAATAATCGTTTAATTTATCACCGTGGCCCCCATGTATTTTATCACGAGTAAAATACAAAAATCTCTCCTGAACGATCATAAAAACTTTCTTTATAATTTTATTTTATCAAAAACCTCCTTTCTATTTTTGAAAAAAAAAATGACAAATACCTCCCTTCCCTTAATGATCAAGACAGAAAATGTGTATACTTATATTTTTACCCTTTCACTAATAACACTGTTAAGGCTACTTGCTAGCATCATTTAATTCCTATTTAGATCTACCATAGTTGCATGCAGTTGCTGCTGCTGCAACCCCCAACTTTACTCCATCTGTAGCCTTCATTGCACAGGCCACTTTTTTACTAACGCGGCTATCCCTAATAGCCCTCAAGTGGAAATCTGATCTAGAATATCAATCCCTACGAATGAAGCTAGCAAGTAGTTTAACCTGCAGCCTTCACCTCTTCTTCTAGTTGGAGGGATAGCTGCATTTGCAAAAGTGATCGGTGCAATGAAATCCACGATTGGTAAGGTTGCAAGAGTGGCCGACAAAATCTGCAGTTATCCCTCCACTTGCAGCCTTCACCTCTTCTTCATATTCTGGCAAACTTACTCTCGTGGATGCCGATTCCGGCGAGGCCTTGACCTTCAGCCCATTGAAATCCACAATTGCTAAGGTTGCTCATGGTTTGGTTCGCTTGGGCATAAAGAAAGGCGATGCCATTCTCATATTAGCCCCTAATTCGGTTCAATTCTCCATTTGTTTCTTGGGGGTTGTTGCTATTGGAGCTATTGCTACCACTATGAATCCTCTTTACACCACCGCAGAGATCGCTAAGCAGGTGAATGACTTTAGCCCGAAGCTCATAATGGGATCCATACACATGTATGAAATACTAACATATCTAGGGGTGTAACTTGGGTGGGCCTAGCCCAAGCCCAAATCGACCTAACCTGCATTTTTGCATGGGCTGGGCTTAGATTTTTGGTCATCACGCTGAACTTAAGCCTAAGATTTTGTTTTTTAATTTTTCGGACTGAGCCAATCTCCAAGATTTTGTTTTTTCTAATTTGGGTTGGGCCTGTGCCTAGACTTTAGGAAGCCTAAACTTGGCTTGGCCTTATCCCAACTCAGTCTGGCCCAACTATACATATTCATAAATACACATATACATATGTATATGCATACATACATGTGCACTTATTTGTCAAATTTTAGAGTGGGCTCAGCAACTAAAGCCTAACCCGAGTGCATCAAGTTTCAGTGTGTGAGCTGAGCCCTGGTTGGGAAGATCAGGCTTGAGCTAGGGCTCAGGATTAAGCCCAAATCTTAGGGTTGGGCTCAGGTTGACCATAAACCCATCCTAGCCTGCTTGACTTACACCCTTAAACATGTTCACTCATCATTGGTTAAATGTAATAATACCAATACTGAATTAACATAAACCCTTAAAATCTAGGAAACGAGTACACTTGGCTTGACTTTTACCACTTAGGGGGCATTCATTTTTGTGATTTTGAGAGGGGGAAAGTTGGTCAATGGGATTGTAAGAAACCCATGTTCTTTCCTGGGTGATACCTGATGAAGGGAAATTTGGCCTGACCTCGCAATCACCCGACACGTGGCAAAAGCAAACAACTCGGGACAGCAGAGCGCCCAAAACGAGCACCGAAAGTAACGAAGTCCAAGCTCACTAC